AAAAAAAAAAAAAAAAATTTGTTTTTATTTTTTTTTTTCCTTGACACCTGGGAAACCGCTGCCCCCCTCAGAACTAACCAAAGACAATGGTTCACTGTGCAGGCTGCAAAAGGCCGATCTTGGACCGGTTTTTGTTGAATGTACTGGACAGGGCTTGGCATGTGAAGTGTGTTCAGTGCTGTGAATGTAAATGCAATTTGACAGAGAAATGCTTTTCACGGGAAGGCAAGCTTTACTGCAAAAACGACTTCTTTCGGTGAGTACCGGCCTCCACCTGCCCCGCCGCTCCTCTCTATTCGTTTTCGTCTCCATTTTTTTCCCCTTTATTTTTGTTGTTTTCCCCGTTGTCAGCGGGACCCACAAGCGCCTCTTCCTTCCCCGTGACACGCGAACATCTCAGATCGCGGTGGTTTGTCCCGGTGATTTCAGGGTGGGAGGATAGCGGGTGGGAATCGGGGACAGGGACGGGGACGGGCCCGTTGATGCCGCCGCTCTCCGCGTCCCCCGGCCGGGCTCGAGTTGCCCGAAGTTCCCTCCAAACTATCGACCGGCGGGACGGTGCGGGCCGGACCCGGGGCGGGGTTTTGGGGCACGGGTACCGGCCCGGGCCCGGTGCTGCGGAGCGAGGGTGATTCCTCCGAGGCTTTCCGCGGCTGTGAACGCGGCGCTGCCCGGGCCGGAGCCCGTCGCTGTCCCCGGTGCCGCCGGGCGAGAAAGGCCCGGTGCGGGCGCTCCGCGGGCCCAGCGCATCCCGTCCAACCGAGCCAGGCCGCCCCGAGGGCAGTGACCCTTCGCCGGTGGGAGGATGAATGGATGGAGAGGGCGGCGGGCACGGACGCTCGCTCTCCGCCGCTTTCCCCGCTCATCCCGGCCCGCTGCGGCGCCGGCATCAATCCCGGGCTCGGAGCGGCCACCGGTGCCGCTGCCCGGCCGGGCCCCGCCGCCGCACACCGGCGATAAGGACAAGGAGCGGCTCGGGGCCGGGGTGGCCGCGGAGCCCCGGCCGCTCACGGGCACAACGCCCGGCCCGACGCGGTGGAGCGCGGCACCGAGCCCGCTACCGCTTCTCCCTGGGCACGGGCACCGGCACAGTCCCGAGCCCCGCCGCTTCTCTCCGGGAAGGGGCCCGGCCCTGCCCCGCTCCCGGTTCCGAGAGCCCCGCGGGGATGAACGGGTTACGGAAGGTCTCCGGTCCCGCTGTACCCCGGCTCCCCGCGCCGGCCTTGCCTGCACCGGCGGCTCCTCCGGCCGGAGCGCGACCGARGCCGGTACCGACAATACAGAACGYACAGAATTTCTGCGCGCTGTTTGTWAGAGCACCCTTAACGCGGGTGTCGGGGCGCAGGGACACCCGGGCAGCGCAGCCCCGGCGTTCAGCAACGCCGAGCACAGCCCCGCTCCTGCCGCGCAGGCCGGGTTCGATTTTTAGTTTTAATAAAGATATAATATCGGGAAGAGAGAGCGCTCCGCAGGGATGCTGTATTTTATTTAATCCCGTTTTGCATGGCCGAGCAGGRTGTGCGGAGGCCGCGGCTCGGGGCGCGGGGCCCGCGGCTCGGCGGGCGCTGCTGATCCGCTGCCCGGCCTCTCTCCGCAGGTGTTTCGGGACCAAGTGCGCGGGCTGTGCCCAGGGCATCTCCCCCAGCGACCTGGTCCGCAGGGCGCGGAGCAAAGTGTTCCACTTGAACTGTTTTACGTGTATGATGTGTAACAAGCAACTCTCCACCGGCGAGGAGCTCTACATCATAGACGAGAACAAGTTTGTCTGCAAAGAAGATTACCTAAATAACAGCAATACTGCCAAAGAAAACAGCCTGCATTCAGGTGAGGGAGCGCGGCCGGGCTGACCAGGGCAGGGATGCGCCCAGCACCCGCTGCTCCTTGGAATGAGACGCTCCTCTCCTTCCTCCTCCTTTCCTCTCTGATTTCTCCTGTCTTCTTTCTCCTCTCCCTCCTTTATCCNTCTCTGATTTCTCCTGTCTTCTTTCTCCTCTCCCTCCTTTATCCCTTCTCCTCTCCCTTGTTTCCTTCCTTCTCTGATTTCTCTGTCTTCTTTCTCCTCTCCTTCCTTTATCCCTTCTCCTCTCCCTTGTTTTCTTCCTTCTCTCTCTTCTCCCTTTATTCTCCTATCCCTTTCTTTTCCTCTCCTTCTTTTCTCATTTTCTCTTTTTTCTTCCTCCCTTTCTCCTCTTCTCTCCCTTCTTTCTCCTCTCTCCCGGTCCTACCGCGGCCCATCTCTCACGGTCGGTATTTTCCCTCCGGCCGCCCCCGGCTGAGCGTGACCCGGTTTATTCTCCCCCAGCCACCACCGGCAGTGACCCCAGCCTGTCCCCCGACTCTCAAGACCCCTCCCAGGACGACGCCAAGGAYTCGGAAAGCGCCAACGTGTCCGACAAGGAGACGGGGAGCAACGAAAACGACGACCAGAACCTGGGGGCCAAGCGGCGGGGACCCCGCACCACCATCAAAGCCAAACAGCTAGAGACTCTGAAAGCCGCCTTCGCGGCCACCCCAAAACCCACCCGGCACATCAGGGAGCAGCTGGCACAGGAGACCGGCCTCAACATGCGGGTCATCCAGGTACCGCCGCCTCCGGGCACCGAGCACGGCTCCGGGGGATGCGGGGGCGAGGAGAGGCCGGTGCCCGGCACCCTCCGTACTGCGGGGACCGAGGAAGCTCCGCCGGCGCTTGAAATCGTTATTACCGAGGCGCCCCGGTATCTTCCCGGCGCTTCCCGGCGCTTCCCGGCGCTTCCCGGCTCTGCAGCCCCGGCCGGTCGGCGGGGACAGAGCCGCGGGTTTATTCGCAAAAGTCCTAAAGAAGCTGCAAATAGTATCGAAATTAATAACCAGAAATGTGAGGGGTTAATGGGTAAATAAGAATGACAACGCGCTGGAATTATTAAAAGGTTTATAAACCCGCAGCGCTGGGGTAATGGGGGGTTAAAGGACCATTAAAGACGAGGTTAGATTGGAGAGGCTCAGTGTGAGGGTAATTAGCAGTAATCTTGTCAGGGTAATAAGAATTAACTCAATCATTCTTGACCTGCAGCCGGTAGGGAGCGGGGCCGCCGTCACGCGTGGGTTCGGCCGCGCTTGGAACGCGGTTCGGGGCGCAGCGGGCTAAAGAGACCGGGAAAGGGGAAAAGCGCAGCCTCGGGACGGGGATGGAGATGGGGACGGAGGAAAGGGGGAGCAGGGCGGCGGCGGCGGAGCGTCCCGGGCTCCCGTGAGCGGGACCCGCAGCCCCGCAGCTCCCGTGACCGGGTCCTCTCCCGCCGCCCTGGCAGGTCTGGTTCCAGAACCGGCGCTCCAAGGAGCGGCGGATGAAGCAGCTGAGCGCGCTGGGCGCCCGGCGACACGCGTTCTTCCGCAGCCCGCGCAGGATGCGGCCGCTCGTGGACCGGCTGGAGCCCGGCGAGCTCATCCCAAACGGGCCCTTCTCCTTCTACGGAGGTGGGTACCGCGCTCCTCCCGCGCTGCTTTGCTCCGCGCCGGGATGCGGGGACACCCGCCGGGACGCGCCCGGCTCCTGACTCCCCGTTCTCCGCTTCCCCGCACCCGCAGCGCTGCCGCAGGGCTCTCGGGGTTCCCCCGCTGTTCCCCGGTGGTTTTGGGATGCCAGTTTGTGTCGGTGTCCCCGCTGCTCTGCGGGAATGGGGTCCCGGGGCTGCCGGAACGCGTTTCTCCCTCGCGTTCGTGGGTGACACCCCGAGCCCCCGGTCCATCCCCGCCTCCGTGGGAGCGCTCCCCTGTCGTCCCCTCTCGGGTTCCTGCACCCCCGTTACCATCCCTCTGTCTCTCCTTGTCCGCCAGATTATCAGAGCGAGTATTACGGCCCTGGAAGCAATTACGATTTCTTCCCGCAAGGACCGCCTTCGTCTCAAGCGCAGACCCCCGTGGATCTCCCGTTCGTGCCCTCGTCGGGGCCGTCAGGGACCCCGCTGGGGGCCATGGACCACCCCCTGCCCGGACATCACCCCTCGAGTGAGGCTCAGCGCTTCACCGACATCATGTCGCACCCCCCGGGAGACTCGCCCAGCCCCGAACCCAACCTGCCCGGGTCCTTGCACTCCATGTCCGCGGAAGTTTTTGGYCCCAGCCCCCCATTTTCGTCGATATCCGTCAACGGTGGTGCTAACTACGGCAATCACTTGTCCCACCCTCCAGAAATGAACGAAGCAGCTGTGTGGTAGCTTTAAAACAAACTGGGTCTAAGTAAGTGATGATCATCTAGTCTGCTTATTGTTATGGTGTACAGAAATGAATTAATATAACATCTCTCCCGCCCTAAGACAATGTTACCTTGGGAACGAACTGAATCCAATTGCTCCAAGGCAAGCTTTGCTCTAGACCAGGACAATCTCCATGTTATGGTTGTATCAAACAAGCGAGGGGACTTTTTTTGTACCATTGACAAAGAAACTGGGGAAGCTGTACAGTAAAATGCTGCCATTCCGTAGGATGGCGTGAGTTTGATTACCCTGTTGGATGTCATCCTAAGAGCCACAATCCTTAGAAACTTCTCGTTTAAAAAAAAAAAAATTAAACAAATAATTGAATGAAGGAAAGGTCAAAGAAAAGGGGAAAAAAAGCTTGAAGAACTCTCTAGCGTTCCCGGTTAAGGATGGTTCTGGCATTATGAATCTGTTTGTTCATTTTTGTCTCTCAGAAAGTTCGACAACAAGAAACTCTTTTTAGCTTCAGCCATTTCAGCCTGCTGACGATCAGGTGGGACAACTTTTCCTTTCTTTTTTTCTTTTCTGTTTTGTTTTGGTTTTTGTTTTGTTTTGTTTTTTCCAAAAATAGCAAATACTAAATGTTAAGCCCTCAGCACCAACTCTTCTACCTTCACAAAGCTACACGTACAAAACCTCCTCATCATAGCAAAGGTCACCACCCAGACCTCTAACGAAAATGACTTGAAAAAACAAACAAACAAACAAAAAGTATTCTACCTTCACAGAGAGAGAAAAGCTAAACAAAAAGACTCTATTGAACTAAAAACAGTCAACTGTTTACGTCTAATGTTAAATTCAGGAGCTCAATGTTTTACTAATAAATCCTGTTTTAGAAAAACCTCTTGTTCAAAAGCAAAAGATTTTGAGCAGCCAACCAAAATAGTTCATTTTCTTTTCTGTAGATGTTCTAACAGATTGCAGGGCTTGTGGTTCACTGTGCTAGTTTGTAAAAGGTGTTGTTTACAGAAGGCAAAGAAAAAAAAAAMCCCACAAAACCCAGACAGTTGCCAAATAAAGTAAATATATAGCACAAATACTGTAAGGTGCTTTGCACCAGCAACCCGAGAAGGTGTTTAAAAAAAGTGTTACAAGGTTAAAAAGAAAAAAAAAAAAAAGACAAACATCTTTGCTAATTTTTAGTCCTGTTGAACATTCATGGAATTGTTAATATGACTTATATAGACCCACACAGGTTTTATTTTTGTGTCTTTAAAATAAAAGTCCAAAATATTTAAATTTTATGGTCAAATATGCAGTCAACAGCTGCTACWTTTTTCTTTATATATTAAATTTCTCATATGTCTTTTATTGTTCTAATGAACCTAAGCTTGTGTGACCTCCAGTGCATATTAGACCATTCACTGTATGAAAGAAAACATGTTGGATAAAATTTGTGCGTTTTTAATAAAATTAGAAAATCTGATGTTTAGATAACTTGTGTTTCATTTGATGTTTTAAGCAATTTTTTTGAAATTGATCCTCTTGAGTAAAATAGCCCTGAGATAGAATGATCCACTCTGCTGATAATCCTGGGGAGCTCTTTTGCTCTGGTAGAAGTCTAAACCCTGGTGTCGATGCAGACAGCGGCCAGAGGCAGCTCCAGCMTTTCTTTCCATCTCCAGGCTCAGTTGTTCAAGTCCAAATACCCTGTTCTGCTGGATTTTAATTTTTTAAAATTCAGGAATAATCTAATTATTCAATATCTTTAGTTGTTTGCCGTCTGTTTGCTAAGAGAGAATATTCGAAATGCTGATTTTATGCGTAAACAAAAATGTGTTGTAAATGTAAAATGCTTGCAAAGATATGGTTTGCAGATGATCTAGTTTTAGTTAATTCTCTAAAGGTAATTTTACTTTTTTTTTTTTCCTAATTGGATGGTTTGGGCACAGCTCAACCTCAATGTCCGGAAAGTAATTTTAATCCTTTATTCTTAGAGCTGAGGCAGAGTCAATGGTTTGATGGTGTTCGGTCTTTCTGAAGTTCTCAAAGGGCAGTGGGGGAAGAATATTTTGCTTTGCACTCGATACAGCCTCATTCTCTCGGAGAAAAAAAAAATGAAACAAAAAAAAAAAATCTAGAGCCTTGAGAAATGCCAGATTTCCTGTTTTAATTATCAATCATGGCAGAATCCTGAATATTCAGTTCTTCAAAAGCAAAAGTCTCGTTGGTTCCGAGAGGACTTTGCCCTGTGTTAGAGACAAAGAGTCAGGTTCGGTTCAGAGAACTCTCTGGTGTGTTCCTCCTGCTGGGTTAATGGAATGGGATCAGCTGGAATTGCATCTTCTTCCTCTCTCAACTCACCGTGGCTTGGGTTGGCTTCTCTTTTATTTGCTGTAGACGCAGAATTTTATGCTAAACCCCAGATTTCTACGTTCCCAGTGTTTCCCATCATTTCTCTCTTTGGACCGGGGGGATAAAGAACCAACTCCAAATGCTTTAAAGTTGTATAGTTTGTAATTTTCAATGGTGATTTTTGATTTTGTTCACTACCTAATTTTTACACCCAGCAGAGGGGCCACCTAGATGAAGCAATAGTTCACTTTAACACAAAATGTCTTATATAATAATAATAATATAAAGATAAAAACTATCTGCAAGGGATCTGTTAGTATTTCTAAAAAGAATAATTCATGCTTTATTAAATACAGGGGAGACTTCTTAAACTCCTGGACTCCGTGTCTAACTCATTTATTTGTCTTTTGTACTATTGCCATGTTTTGTTGCTCTGGTTTGCATTTATATAAGCAGGGGAATGGGTGATTTATTTATTCCAAACTTCTACTGATCTGGGAAAGATAAATACTGCTGTTTGTGCTGCTGGTCTGGGCTGCTGCTTTATTGTTGAATCGATGATTTTAAATGAGGATTTCACCAAATAGGCTTGTTTTGTAGGAAATTTGATCGGGAGGGGGATTTCTTTTCTTTCTTTCTTTTCTTTCTTTCTTTTCTTTTGGTCTTTTTCTTTTCTCTCATGAGCTCATTGTACAGTTTATTCTGTGTTCATCTAGGCAGCAGCTCGGTTTAGGCTCGGTTTAGGTTATAAAAATGAGATTTTGTCTTTTCCTGGCTCTTCCTTGTGGCTTTGCCGGGTTTGGGGGAGCCCAGGAGCCGTTCCCATGCCCGGGGCTGAGCGTGTCCTTGGGCTGCACTCCGGAGGCCCCGGCCCTGTGGAGATTGGAATTCTGGGCTCTTCAGAGCCAGCTCGGTGCATCTGAAGCCCCTAATCCAGCAACAATTGCACAGTCAAAACTCCTTTTGAAAGCATTGTCACGTTGGCTTCTTGTAAGTCCTTGTTTACAAGAGCATTTCCATTGACTCCGGCAGCGCTCCGTGAATGTGTGGATGGGTGGGTGGGTGGAAGGATGGATGGATGGATGGATGGATGGATGGATGGATGGATGGATGGATGGATGGATGGATGGATGGTTGTGGGAGAAGGGCCTGGAGGAATTTTGGGATCCCAGGCTGGCTTGTTGGTTCTGTAGGGCCGAGACCATGCCATGCCCAGCTCTGTGCCCCTGCGAGGCACCCCACACCTCAGGAGCCTTTTGGGAAGTAACTGCTCTCTTCTGGTCTCTCCTCCCTCTCCTGCTGCTGTTTTCCAYGCCCTGGTGCCGTGTCCCAGCCGAGGGGAGCTGGGTGATGCTGTCCCTGCCCAGGTCTGGCTGCTCACACAGCTCAGGATGGCCGGGAGTGCTCGGCTCAGAGGGTGCCAGGCTGAAGATGGGTGCAGAGCCACGRTCAGACCTGCACCAGAGCCACGGTCAGACCTGCACCAGCCACTGGGAAAAGGCTCCAGGCACATCCTGTGAGTATTACCCATGTTGGGCTGATCTGTGCGAGGGGGATTTTGGGAGGTTGATCAAAGTGTCTGTGAAATGCTGCCAGTTTTCTGCAGCCAAACCCCGGCTTTTGGCCCAAATTTCCCCACTGAGGCTCCTCTCTGCCCATTCCCTCCCTCCCAGTTCCTGCTGGGAGCCGTTTGCTCAGGCCTTTGCTCGGGGATGGAAAAGGATTTGGGAAKATCTGCATCCCACGAGTGAGGATGTACTTAAATGATGATTTGTAGACAAATGATGTGTAATATTTTAATGCCTGTACCCAGATGCTGAGAGATGGGTACTGGACACAAACTGGTAAATAAATACAATTTTAAACTACCAGTGGGGATTTACATTTTGCCATCGTAGAAAGTGGCAGATATTGCAGTGTCCTCTCAGGAATGGTTCCCTTTGCTGTAGTCTGGATTTTTTATCTTGAATAACTGTGTTGTCTTTAAGCTTTGCATGTCCTTAYGTTATGAAATAGAAGCATTTGCAATCTCCGTTCCTGTTCCTATCCCTAGCAGATAAATTCACATCTATTAAGTTTAAACAATTGAGAGATATCCTTCTGTGCTGGAGAGCTGGGAACAGGGAACTGTGATGCTAGAGCAGGTTTTGGAAGGTGCTTTCTGTGTGTCTGCCATGACACTGRGGTGCTCAGCACTCCTCCTGCCAAAAAACACCCATGGAGTTATAAATTAAATTAGTGGGACCATTAAAACATATTTTGGTTATAAATCCTTCTAGGATTTGTTTATTTGTCAATAATGCTGGTGGTGGTTTAGCTAGAGAGCATGGGCTCATGCTGGGAAAGCGGAGTTTGGTGTGGCCTGGAGAGTTGTTTGCTCCTTAAATGCAGAATTGTAATGCAGGAACTGGAGAGGAAATGTGGCCTCCAGATTCCTAAATCTGTGTCCCTGGGGTTGCTGGAACCGCGGTTTTGGGGTTTTCTCAGGGTGCTTTCAGGGTGTCCCTGCAGTGCTGTTCTCGCTGGCTCACGGGATCATTGTTTGGGATGCAGCTGTTGTTTCCATTGGCTTCTTGTGGTTTGGTTCTGGGATCATCTCTTGGTGACACACTGGGGACAAGGGGGTGGCTGGGCTCTCTTACAGCTTCTGCTGCAGGAGGCACCAAATTCAGGGACAGCTCCACTTCGGTGCCATTTGGGCACCGTTCACTCTTTGCAATTGTGACAACTGGGGACATTTTTCCTGCTTGGTTTCACCACAAGCTCCCTTCCTGTGGAATCTGACCCCGTACAGAGGCTGCTGGGATCCCACATGGTTTGGAAGGAACTCCTTGGCTCTGCTCACCCCAGGAGCCCCAGTTTGTATTTGTCACAAGGTCCCTGTGCGGTGTGAGAATTGTCACAGCCC